GCCCTCGTCCAAAAGGAAGATCAGGCCGGATGCAAGCACACAAGAGGCTTTTCACCCTCTTCCTGATCCCGAACGTGTCCTTTAGCTCTCCTCCGGGGCGATGGTTAAAGGACACGGGGAGAGTAAACACGGGCAAATGGGATGGGCCGCACACAGCGCCATTTCCTCACCTCCGGGCGGGCGCAGCGGCCACACCGGGTGAAGGTGGACTTCCCAGCATGGCCAGCCCCAAGGGAGCCCCACCCTCTTCCAGAGACTCGTGTCCTCTCCCTCACCCCCTCGCTGGGATGGGGCAGGCCGGAGGGAGCCCAGAGGCAGGACGCGGTGCCCACCCAGCCCAGGGGCAGCCTCTCTGTCGGTGAACTTGGGCCACAGTTTCCCCGTCTGTAAGAGCACATCCCACAGCTCACCACCCGGAAGGTCAATGTTTGTGGTTTGGCACAGGTGAGCGGTGAGAGGGCCCAGGTGGGAAAAGCTAACACTGCTGGCTTTTAAGAACCCACATAAAGCATATGCTCCGTGATGGGTCCCTCTGTGGGGCCGGGAACCCAGACCCGCCGAGCCCGCTGACACACTTTTTGGCTGTAGTTGATGTTCCAGACCCAGAGGGACCCCCACACCCCACCCCACGGAAGCCACAGGGCCGCTCGCCTCTCCCACTGGCCCCAGGCCAGCGTCAATCTCTGACCCCCTGACTCAGCAGAGGGCAGGACCGGGGTGCGCCTGGGGGATGGGGGCTGCCTCACCCCCTGGAGCGGACTGCCTGCACTTGGTGATCCAGCCAGGGACCCCGCCCCAGCAGAGGGTCCTCCCGGCGACCCCCCAACGCGGGGCGGAACTGGGGACTGGAAATGCTGGGGCGGGGGGCCCAGAGCGGGGCTGCCTGGGCTGAGCCCCTGGCCCTCCCTGCCCCGGCATCGGGGCCTCCAGCAGCCCCGCCTCCCCCCCCCCCCCCAGGGGACCCCCAGCTGCCACCCGGGCGCAGGCGGGCGCGCAGCCCCCGCGCCCGGCGCCTTACCTCGGCCTTTGCCCTTGGCCCTCTTGGCCTTGTCGTCCGCCTTCTTGGCCCGGGGGGCGGGCTCGGCGCCCTCGGCCCCCGCTGCCTTCTTCTTGCGCCGCTTGCCCCGCAGCCAGCTGAAGGCGCGGCGCAGGCCGGAGCGCGGCTTCCTGCGGCGCGGGGGGCTGCCGGGGCCGCCCGGCTCCTCGGCCGCAGGTGCGGCGGGGGGCGCGCGGGCCGCCATGGGGGCGCGGGCGGCGGTCAGGCCCCCGGCGGCCGGGCGCCCATGCGGGGCGGGGGCGCGGGCGGCGGGAGACCCGGAGAAAAGTTTGGGCGGCGAGGCGGGCGGCTGGAGCGGCGGCGGCGGGCGGGGCGGCGGGCGGGGCGCGGGGACCGCCCGCGGGAAGGACCGGGAGGGAGCGGCCGCGGGGCGGGAGGCGCTGCCGGGCTCCTCCCCGCGCCCCGCCGCGCGGTTCGGGTTCGAGGCCGGAGGGGGGCGAGGTCGGGCGGGAGGGGCGGCGGCGGAGCCCCCGGAGTCCGCGGACGGCCGGGACCGGAGGGCGGGGTCGCGGGCGGGTCCGGGGGGCGGGTTCGGGGTTCCGTGCGGGCGCCGGGGCCTCGGAGGTGCCGGGGTCGCGGGAGGAAGATCCCCCCGGGGGCTGGAGGGCGGGGTGGCTCAGGGCAGCGAGGGGACATGCGGGCTGGACCTGGGAGGGCTGGGTGTCCGGGCTTTGGTCTGGAAGGGGCCGGGGGTCTGGGGTTGTTCACCTGGAATAAGGGGATGCTAAGAATTCTGAGCAGGACCCCGACGTGAAGACTGGGGGTTCAGGAGCGCCCCGGGCCTGTGAGGGACAGTGCACAGACCTCTCTCCTGTGCGATGAGAGCTCGGCCCTCTGCTCCTCCCCACCCTCCCCACCCCTTCCCCAGCTTCCCACCACCCTCTGTGTGCAGCTGGCACCCAAGACTCCCTCCCGGGTGAGGGCAGTTAGAGCAGTGCCTCAGTTTACCCTTAGGCTGTGGGACCCCAAGACACCCCTGCCCGGCTCTGGGTTTCCCACTGAGATATTCAGCACTGACTGGGGCCAATCTGGGCCTCCGTTCACTCAGGGGATAAAGGGTTTGAGATCCTCTGCGGGTGAGAAGTGACCCGGGACGCCATAGGGAGGAAAGCCTTTACCCACCATGAAAGGTGCCCGGGGGGCGCGGCTCAGGGGTTGAGCGTGGACCTGTGGACCAGGGGGTCAGGGTCCAGTTCCTGGTCCGGGCATATGCCTGGCTGAGTGCTCGGTCTCCATTGTGGGGCGTGCAGGAGGCAGCCAATCGGGGATTCTCTCTTATTATTGACGTTTCTTTCTTTCTCTCCCTCTCCCTTCCTTTCTAAAATAAAAATTATATCTTTTAGCCGAAACCAGTTTGGCTCAGTGGATAGAGCTTCGGTCTGCGGACTAAAGGGTCCCAGGCTTGATTCCGGTCAAGGGCATGTACCTTGGTTGCGGGCACATCCCCAGTGTGGGGTGTGCAGGAGGTAGCTGATCGATGTTTCTAGCTCTCTATCCCTCTCCCTTCCTCTCTGTAAAAAATCAATAAAATATTTTAAATATATATATATATATCTTTTAAAAAAACAATCATGAAAAGGCTGTGCCTCTAGCTCTTTATTATAGCTAACTGAGCTCTTCTATATCATTTAATCCCACAACAAGCAGGGCAGAGGGTGTTACCCCATAAAGCAGAAGGGAAACAGGCGAGGAGAGGACAGTGCTTGCCAGAGCACAGAAGTGGTCGGAGCAGAGAAGACCAGCGATGCTGGTCTCATGGTGCCTGGTCCCAGGGCTGGGATTGCCCTGGGGGTTAGCCGTGGGTTCAGGGGCCTGGCACTCCCTCTCTGGGTCCCCGGAAGGGCATCATCATCACTCCGCCCCCCAGAGTTTGTCTTCCTCGCCCAGCTTGACCCTGGTCAGGTAGCTTTCTCCTGGTCCTCGTCTCCAAAGACCCATTCGTGGGGGTTATCCAGCCAGTCAGTCCTGGTGTAATGTAAGCAGCACCCACTGTAATACTGTAGGGCGGTTAGAGTGCAGAGTGACCTCCTTCACCTGCTTTAGCCGCCTGAGGATCCCCAGGGGCTCAGCTGTGGCCAACCTGGGCCATGGCTGGCACTCTCCCCACCTGGGGGGGAGGGGGGGCACTCACTGGCTTTGCTGAGCCTCAGTTTCCCATCTAATAGCCATTCATTCTGACCCGACCCACAATCCCAGAGCACCGGAATCACGCTGGGCCCTGTCCTGTGCTCTCTCCCAGCCCAACACTAGCCCCAAGGACCCTGCCTCTTGGGGTTTCGGGCAGGGCTGAGACTTGGAGAGAGAGCTGGGTGCAGGTCTTGGCCTGTTAGGTCGTCGGGATGCCTTGGGCAGGAAGGAGAGAGGAAGGTTCTTGGGAAGGGAGATCGGGAGAGGAATGTTGGTTAGTTTTGCTCCCACCAAGCCTTTCAGCATTCTCTTCCCAGGAGCCAGGGTGCCCACATCGTTTGCAGAGCTCAATACAAAATGAAAATGCAGGGTCTTTCGCTCAGGATTCGTTTAAAATTTCAAGAGGGCAGCCGAAACCGGTTTGGCTCAGAGGATAGAGCGTCAGCCTGCAGACTGAAAGTCCCAGGTTTGATTCCGGTTAAGGGCATGTATGTACCTTGGTAAAATGAAAAAATAAAATTTCAACAGGGCAAAACAGCACAGCGTGCAACTGAACATGAGCCATTTCAAATACAGGACAATGTGTGACTCCACCCAGGAAGCTGCCCTGCCAGCGGCTCCTATAATTGTTCCCTGAAGGCGCCTCTCAAACCAGGATGCCCGGGAATTAACCCAGAGAGGGTCCCCTGATCTGGAAGTCAGGAAGGGAAGGTAGGTGGTGGCAAGGGGTCTGGGTTATATTCCCACTCAGACAGTCTCATCTCCCATTTCCAACCTGGACCGACCTCAGGCCGGCATCTCCTAGCGTCCCCCTGTCTCCTGACCGAACGGACAGACAGCCTTCTGAGAGTCCCAGAGAGGGCTGGCCTGGGAAGGGCTACCCTGCAGCCCTGCTCTCTGGGTTCTCGGTGGCTCAGCTGCATTTCTCTGCTGGCCCTACAAACAGCTGAGAACACTGACTTCCCAGCATCCCCAGGGGCAGGGCCCAAAGTCCACCCTGGAGCCAGGCTGTCACCTGAAGGGAGGAAGTGCCAGCCTGTCCCCAAGGTGAAACCAGCACTAGCCAGGGTTGGGGAAGCAGCCCCCACACCACACCACCCTCTGGCTTTGCCCCCTCTGTGTTTGGAAAACCCAAGACCGCCCAGACATCGCCCTCGCACCCATCCAGCCTTCCCTCCCCGCCCACCTTGGGAACCCTTCCCCCACAAAGGGACAACAGCTCTGTCGCTTTGTCCCTTCCTGGGGGCCTGGCCTCCTCCCACACACACTCCAGCCCGGACAGTCAACAAGGTGTGGCCGGGCCTCCCTCATTTTACAGGAACACCAGGGAGGGAGAGAGCCTGCAAACCGCACAGGCAGGGCGGGGAGCACCTGTGCTTCCCTCAGAGCTGAGACCAATTGGAGGGGCTGGGACTGGAGGGGAAAGCCGGGCAGTTCTGCAAAGTTGAAGATGTTGAGAGATGAATAATATTCCTATTCCATGGACAAGAAAGCATAAAGAACTGAAACCGGTTTGGCTCAGAGAATAGAGCTTCAGCCTGCAGACTGAAGGGTTCCGGGTTCGATTCCCATCAAGGGCATGTACATCCCCAGTGGCGGGGAGGGGGGTGTGTGTGTGCAGGAGGCAGCTGATTGATGTTTCTCTCTCCTTGATGTTTCTAGCTCTCTGTCCCTCTCCCTTCCTCTCTGTAAGAATCAATATATATATATATATATATATATATATATATATATATATATATATATATATATATAATTTTTTTTTAATAAAATAAAAGCCTAAAGAGAGGTGGGTGACTTGCCAGCCAGCCTAGAGGTGGGTTTTGAAAGTGCTTTGTGTTCATGGCTGGTGCAATCAGGGGTGAGCTGAAACTAACCCCCAGCTTAGGAAACAGAGTTATTCCTCATGTGGCTGACTCTGTGCCGAAAACATGGGAACAACCAGGGAGTGGCCGAGGGAGGACATTGTGTGGTCTGCTCTGGCTTTGGGCTGTGAAAAATAAATAAAAATAAAATAAAAGTGATTTGTGTTCATGTGTGTTGTGTCTATGTGTGTGAACAGGCACCTGCTTTGTGTCAGGCGCCCTCCCCCGCTCCACGCAAACTACTTTCAAAAGTTGCAGGTTAAGCTCGGGCCAGTTTGACTCAGAGCGTCGGCCTGTGGACTGAAGGGTTGCAGGTTCGATACCCAGTTCAACCAATCATGGCTGTGTATCTCTCACTTAGATGTTTTTCTCCCTCCCCCACCCCCCACCTCCTGCTCCTCCCTCCCTTTCACTCTCTCTCTAGAAATCAATGGAAAAAATGTCCTTCAGTGAGGATTTTTTAAAAAGAGTGGACCTTTAAGACCCTGGAAAGGGGGAGTATCTATGGGGAGAGGGAAGGCCATAGCTGGGCCTCCAGAAACCGCCGGAAATGTTCTGATTCATTTGGACGCACCTTCATGTGTTTATCTAGGGAAAGGGTCAGAGCGTTAACCAACTTCTCCAAAGGGTCCTGTTTCAGAATGAAATATAAGGACCTACCATTTGACCCTATTTAACATATGTATTTTTTAAAAATATATTTTATTGATTTTTCACAGAGAGAAAGAAGGATAGAGAGCTAGAAACATTGATGAGAGAGAATCATCAATCAGCTGCCTCTTGCACACCACCCACTGGGGATGTGCCCGCAACCAATGTACATGCCCTTGACCGGAATCAAACCTGGGACCTTTCAGTCCGAAAGCCGGTGCTCTATCACTGAGCCAAACCAGTTTCGGCCATATGTATGTTTTTAAATGTGTTTTTATTGTTTTAGAAAAAGGAAGGGAGCAGGAGAAAGAAACATTGATCAACTGCCCCACACATAGGCCCCACCCCGAAACCTGGGTATGTACTTTGACCTGGAATTGACACTTGGGTGCACGGGACAACACTCAACCCACTGCACCACACCGGCCAGGGCTACCATTTTACTCTTCTTAGTGGGCGGAGAAGATAGAAAGGGGGCCTAGCTGGTTTGGCTCCATGGATAGAGCGTCAGCCTGTGGACTGTAGGATCCCGGGTTCAATTCTGGTTAAGGACACAGGCCTGGGTTGTGGGCTCAATCCCCAGTAAGGAAGGAGCATGCAGGATTCTCTCTCATCATTGATGCTTCTATCTCTCTCTCTTTCTCCCTTCCTCTCTGAAGTCAATATATATATATATATATATATATTTTTTTTAAGGTAGAAAGGGGTTCCAGACATCAGATGCACCGCCTCCTCCTCCTCCCTAGCCCAAGGGTGAGGGGAGAACCCGCAGGTCCCACCTCTACAGCGGGCATTCCTGCGCCTGACACGGGTGCAGTGTGTTAACATTGCAAACACCCGCCCTGCCCTGCCAGGTCTTCTTTGATCCTCCCAGTATCGCTTAGAATCAGGCCCCAAGCCCAATTCCACCCATTTTCCCTGATGGGTTGAAAGGTGAAATACCTGCAAGATGTTAGCTGTGTGGCTGGACCCGTGGAGTGCTGGGCTCCCAGCGCTGAGGCTGAGGGAGGGAGGGTACCAGAGAGGAGGGGGAAGAGAGGCGGGGAGACAAGAGAGAGGAAAAGTAGCTGTTGCCTCTGCCCAGACTCCTGAGAGCAGCTCTGTGCTCCAGGCTTCCGGATTGGCCAGGTTCTGGGGCCAGATGGTCACTCTCCTCATATACACAGTGTAGAAAGATGGTTTCAAACTTTTGCTTTTAGCCCTAGCTGGTTTGGTTCAGTGGATAGCATGTCGTCCTGCGGACTGAGGTTCCCAAGTTCGACACTGATCGAGGGCACATGCCTGGGTTGTGGGCTCAATCCCCAGTAGGAGGCATGCAGGAGGCACCCACCCGATCAATGATTCTCTCTCATCATTGATGTTTCTCTCTCTCTCTCTTCCTTCTTCTCTGAAATCAATAAAAATACTAAAAAAAAAAAAAAAAAAAAAAAAAAAAAAAAAAGCCCTGACTGGTTTGGCTCAGCGGTGGAGCGTCGGCCTGCGGACTGAAGTGTCCCAGGTTCGATTCCGGTCAGGGGCATGTACACTGGTTGCGGGCACATCCCCGGTAGGGGGTGTGCAGGAGGCAGCTGGTCGATGTTTCTCTCTCATCAATGTTTCTGGCTCTTTGTTCCTTTCCCTTCCTCTCTGTGGAAATTCAATAAAATATATTAAAATTAATTAATTAATTAATTAATTAATTAGTTAATTAAGAAAAACAAAAACTTTTGCTTTTAGCATTGGAACTTTCCTTTTTCTCCTCAAACAAAAGCTACCCGAATTTTATCTGAGAGATAAAATGGATAAAACATGTTTTGTAGATACAAATTTATTGTATAACTCAAAACTTATAAGCTTTACTTACCACAAAGTAAATCAGCAGGAACAATGATGACATTTTGGTGGGGACTAAAAGCCTGAAACCCTGAGGTATAGAGCTGGTTATGTTTTAACTGAGAACCAGCATTCAACTTATTTCTGCGGCAGCTCGTTTTAATTGGTAATTAGAGAATACTGGGCTTCATCGACAAGCAGGGGCAAGTGGTAGGCGTTTTTAAAACTTGGTAGAAATGTCAGGAGAAGCTTTATTCTGAAGTCTGCACGGAAATGGATTACCCAGCCCGCTCAGCTCAATGGCTTGTCAAAAGTTAGCCTAGTGCCAAAACCGGTTTGGCTCAATGGATAGAGCGTCGGCTTGGGAACTGAAGGGTCCCGGGTTCAATTCCGGTCAAGGGCATGTACCTTGGTTGCGAGCACATCCCAGGTAGGCAGCTGGTCGATGTTTCTCTCTCATCGACGTTTCTAGCTCTCTGCCTCTCTCTCTTCCTCTCTGTACAAAATCAATAAAATATATTTTAAAAAAAGTTAGCCTAGCCCTAACCGGTTTAGCTCAGTGGATAGAGCGTCCGCCTATGGACTGAAGGGTCCCAGGCTCGACTCCGGCCAAGGGCATGTACCTTGGTTGCAGGCGAGGCAGCTGGTCAATGTTTCTCTCTCATCGATGTTTCTAACTCTCTACCCTCTACCTTCCTCTCTGTAAGAAATCAATAAAATATATTTAAAAAAAAAAAAAAAAGTTAGCCTAATCTGGTTCTCACCTCAGTCCTGCCCCTAACTTGCTGGGTGTCCTTGGGCAAGACGCTTGCCCTCTCTGGGCACCCATTTCCCCATCCCAGCCTCTGATGACCTCACCTGGGGAAAGTGTGCGTTTGGCGGTATTTGCGTGCGCTTTGGGGGTGGGGTGGGGCGCAGCGCACACACTCAGAAGCTTCATTACTCATCTTCACCATCCACCCCCATCCGGGCGTGCGCGTGCGCCTGAAGGGGCCACAAAACCACTGAACTGCCCAAGTTCCAGGCAGAGGTGGGTTGCCATGGGGATGTGCTTTGTTTAGCTGTTGTCTGGCTGCATCTGACAAGCACACACAAAAAGCAGAGAGCCTGTTGGACACTGACCTTGGCAGAGAGAGTAGGGATTTCCTGACCCCGAGATCCACGGGGCTCACTGCTCTCTAAGGAGAGGGGTTCACTGTTCAGTTCTCACCCCCAAAATGGGGGGGTGACCAGTCTGGCCTGTGAGCTTATCAGGCTTCCTGTAGGGGGTCGCTGGGCGGGGCCCTCAAGGTGTTGGCAGACACTCCACCAGTCCAGGGCAGCAAGACTGGCCCTGTGCCCGAGGGCAGTGCCAGGAGGGAGACGCCCTCAGCAGGGCTTCTGGAAGCTGGAGGAGGGGTGAGGACGTGTGCAGAGCTCCTGCCCATGATCAGAGGGAAACAGCTGAGACAACCCCCATCCATACAGGGTCCCACATAAACCCACGGAGACACAAGCAAGGTGGCACACTCACATGCACACCATTTCACACTGGCACGCCCAGATGCACAGATACACACAGCAAAACAAACCTAGATACACACAGACACATCTAGGTAACTGTAAACACTCAGGCACACTAAGACAGCCTGACATCTAAACACATAAACACAGAGATACAGAAACACAAACTCATGCACAGATGCAAACCACCCCCCACCACCACACACACAATTATACACAGACAGGCTGATACACAGAGACACATAGATACACAAATACACACATTCCCAGATGCACACACCCTCATACACAGACATCCATTGATACAAACACACACACAGATACTCACTAGTTCATAAACCAGAGAGAGGTATACAGAAGGCCTTGTACACAAACATAAAGAGACAGAGTTTCAAGCAGAAACGCAGATACACAAATACCCGGCACAGATCCAGGAAAGGGGAAGAGAGGAGAGAGGAACTCATACTTACTGAGGGTCAATTCTGCACAGGCAGCATGAAAGGACTGTCATCTGTAGGATCTTTTTTAAAAATATTTTTTAATTGATTTCAGAGAGGAAGGGGGAGGAAGAGAGAGATAGAAGCATCAATGATGAGAGAGAATCAATGATGGGCTGCCTCTTGCACACCCCACACTGGGGATCAAGCCCACAATCCAGGCATGAACCATGATCTCCTGGTTCATAGGTTGACACTCAATTACTGAGCCACACTGGCTGGGCAGTCTGTAGTATCTTTTTTTTTTTTTTTTTTTAATATATTAGTATTTTATTGATTTTTTTACAGAGAGGAAGAGAGAGGAATAGAGAGTTAGAAACATCGATGAGAGATAATCATGGATCAGCTGCCTCCTGCACACCTCCTACTGGGGATGTGCCCTCAACCAAGGTACATGCCCTTGACCGGAATTGAACCCAGGACCTTTCAGCCCGCAGGCTGATGCTCTATCCACTGAGCCAAACAGGTTTCAGCTATAAGATCTTTTTTATTTTTTTTAATATATTTTATTGATATTTTACAGAGAGGAAGGGAGAGAGATAGAGAGCTAGAAACGTCGATGAGAGAGAAACATCAACCAGCTGCCTCTTGCACACCCCCCACTGGGGATGTGCC